GCAGGTCCGCAACTGTACGTAGGTCGGGGGGTAGGTCATTCCAGAGGGCAGGAGCTGCCACAGAGAAGGCTCTCCCCCTGGGGGTCGCCAGCCGGCATTGTCTGGCCGACGGCACCCTAAGGAGGCCCTCTCTGTGGGAGCGGACTGGCCGAAGGGAGGTGTTTGGTAGGAGGCGGTCTTGCAAATACCTTGGTCCATTGCCATGGAGCGCTTTAAAGGTTGTTACTAACACCTTGAAGCGCACCCGGAAGGCCACCGGCAGCCAGTGCAGCTCGCGCAGGAGAGGTGTTACATGGGAGCATCTAGAGGCCCCCAAAATCCCCCGCGCAGCCGCATTCTGAACTAGCTGGAGCCTCCGGGTGCACCTCACGAGGCTGGCTCTCTTATAAGAGATAAGATAATCTTTATTGTCATTTTTTTATTGTGGGCACAACGGCACACATCAAAAATGAAATTTAGTTGCCCGCTCTCAGAGGGAAACACATACATGACACACACCTAAACATACTATATACAACAACAACAACAACAACAACAACATATTATTATTATTATTATTATTATTATTATTATTATTATTATTATTATTATTGTTATTCATTATGATGAGTGCCTCAATTTGAATGGTGATTATGTCGAAACGTAATGTAATGTAGTTTTCTAATGTGTATCATAAAAGTTCTGTATCTGTGAGTGTCTGTCACGGATAACCAAACGGAGATCAGGGTGATCCCTGATCACGGAGATCAGGGTGATCCCCCAGAGATCAGGGTGATCCCTGATCTCCCTTCCTTCCGCCGCGCCCTCAAGACGTGGTTGTTCCAGCTTGCGGGACTGGCCTAAGGGATTTTAAAGGGGTTTTATTTATTTTTAAATTTGACGAGTTAAATATTTCTTCTTAATCAAATTTTAATAGGTGTATAATGTGTGTGTGTTTTTTATCTGATTGTTAGCCGCCCTGAGTCCGTAAGGAGAAGGGCGGGATATAAATGTAATTAATAAATAAATAATAAATAAATTTCCAAATTGCCCTTGTATCATCCCTATGTTGATACAGCCTAGGATTGCGTTGGCTTCTTTTTCTTTTCTTGGCTAACTCTGAGGTTTCCATGGGCCTCTTTGCCAAAAGAGAGGCCTGCCAGCTGGTGCTACATTCAGATGATCAACGAGGCAGGAAAAGAAGCTTTTTCATCCGTACCTGGGAGAGGCCTGCTATCCCTTAAGGGCCTGCAATCCAAGAACTGAGATTTTTCTTAGCATCCATCAAGCACCTGGCAGTCCAGGAGAGGGAACAAATCTTTTGCATGAATTTAAAATCTCTGCATTAACAGAGGAATAGAATCAAGATCACGTGAAGTGTTAATACCACTTTACAAGGCCTTGGTAAGGCCACACTTGGAATCCGGCATCCAGTTTTGGTCACCACGATGTAAAAGAGATGTTGAGACTCTAGAAAGAGTACAGAGAAGAGCAACAAAGAGGATCAGGGGACTGGAGGCTAAACCATATAAGGAACGGTGGCTGGAATTGGGCATGTATAGTTTAATGAAAAGAACAACGAGGGGGGACATGATAGCCGTGTTCCAATATCTCAGGAGCTGCCCCAAAGAAGAGGGAGTCAAGCTATTTTCCAAGGCGCCCAAAGGCAGGACAAGAAGCAATGGATGGAAACTAACCAAGGAGAGAAGCAACCTAGAACTAAGGAGAAACTTCCTGACAGTGAGAACAATTAACCAGTGGAACAACCTGACTCCAGAAGCGGTGAATGCGCCAACACTGGAAGTATAGGTTTCCTGCCTGAGCAGGGGGTTGGACTAGGTGACCTCCAAGGTCCCTTCCAACTTTATCATCATCATCATCATCATCATCATCATCATCATCATCATTCCTTTAAGTCCTGATTTCAGGTTTTAAGTGTCTGGGATGCTCTTGCGTTGCAAACATTCTTTAAAAATTCAATCTTGGTTTCTTTATTGTCGGCTCGTTTTAAAGAAGTCCTGTTTTAATGAAAAGAAGGGCCAGAGGGGACATGATAGCAGTGTTGCAATATCTAAGGGCTTGCCACAAAGAAGAGGGGGGGTCAAGCTGTTCTCCAAAGCACCCGAAGGCAGGACAAGAAGCAACGGATGGAAAATAAATCAAGGAGAGAAGCAACCTAGAACTAAGGAGAAACTTCCTGACAGTTAGAACAATTAACCAGTGGAACGACTTGCCTCCAGATGTTGTAATGCTCCAACACTGGAAGTTTTTTAAAAAAGAGACTGGACAGCTATTGGTCTGAAATAGTAGGGTCTCCTCCCTGAGCAAGGGGTTGGGCTAGATGACCTCCAAGGTCCCTTCCAACTCTTGATATTCTGTTAAACGTGGCCTGGTTGTATTTGGGGAAGTTTCCAAGTGTTGACCAAGGAAGAGAAAATGCAAAGGTATTTCTCCCAGTGAGTTTCATTTATTTCAACCTCTCCCTCCCGTCTTTCTCCGCAGGGATAATTTATACCGGATCAGCTTGGAATCTGCTACCGCTGGAGAGATGCGTTATCACCGGGTGAGTGCTAAAGCTTTTCCTCCTGCTGCTAAATTGGGGATTAGAAAGAGCCATAACAATTGTAAAGGATATTATTATTATTGCATTTTTGGTCCATTGGTTACGGCTGGCTGGCTGGCTGACTAAGCTAATCACCAGGAGACGGTGAGTTCTAGTCCTGCCTGAGGCATGAAAGCTGGCTGGGTGACTTTGGGCCAATCATCCAGGGGTGGTAAGTTCTACGTCTACCTTAGGCATGAAAGCCAGCTGGGTGACTTTGGGCCAATCACCAGGAGACGGGGAGTTCTAGAACCACCTTAAGCATGAAAGCCAATTGGGTGTCACTGGGCCAATCACAAGGAGACAGTGAGTTCTAATCCCACTTTAGGCATGAAAGCTGGCTGAATGACGTTGGGCCAATCACCAGAACACAGTGAGTTCTAGAACTACCTTAGGCATGAAAGCCGATTGGGTGGCTTTGGGCCAATCACCAGGAGATGATGAGTTCTAGAATCACCTTAGGCATGAAAGCCGACTGGATGGCTTTGGGCCAATCACCAGGAGATGGTGAGTTCTAGTCCCACCTTAGGCATGAAAGCCAGCTGGGTGACTTTGGGCCAGTCACCAGGAGACGATGAGTTCTAGAACCACCTTAGGCCTGAAAGCCGACGGGTAATTTTGGGCCAATCACAAGGAGACAGTGAGTTCTAGTCTCATCTTAGCCTGAAAGCTGGCTGAGAGACATTGGGCCAATCACCAGGAGACAGTAAGTTCTAGAACTACGTTAGGCATGAAATCCGACTGGGTGACTTTGGGCCAATCCCAAGGAGACAGTGAGTTCTAGTCCCACCCTAGGCATGAAAGCCAGCTGGGTGACACTGGGCCAATCACCAGGAGACAGTGAGTTCTAAAACCACCTTAGGCACGAAAGCCGACTAGGTGACTTTATTTATTTATTTATTTATTTAATTTAATTTATATGCCGCCCTTCTCCCGACGGGACTCAGGGCGGCGCACAAGATACTTAAAACCAAAACATATATACAGTCCCCCCCTTAAAACCGAATTAAACCAAATTTAAAGTTGCGTCTTCCAAATTCCTAAAAAACCCAGTATAAAATCCACCCTAGGTCAGGTCCGCTTGCTGAAAGAGCCATGTCTTGAGGGCGCGACGGAAGGTAAGGAGATCCGGAATTATCCGAATCTCGGGGGGTAGTTCGTTCCAGAGGGTGGGGGCACCCACAGA